GTGCTGCTCCGAGCCCCTCATCATCCTCACAGCTCACACCTGGTGCTGCTCCGAGCCCCTCATCATCCTCACAGCTCACACCTGGCACTGCTCCGAGCCCCTCATCATCCTCACAGCTCACACGTGGCACTGCTCCGAGCCCCCCATCATCCTCACAGCTCACACCTGGCGCTGCTCCGAGCCCCTCATCATCCTCACAGCTCACACCTGGCGCTGCTCCGAGCCCCTCATCATCCTCACAGCTCACACCTGGGGCTGCTCCGAGCCCCCCATCATCCTCACAGCTCACACCTGGCGCTGCTCCGAGCCCCTCATCATCCTCACAGCTCACACCTGGCGCTGCTCCGAGCCCCTCATCATCCTCACAGCTCACACCTGGCGCTGCTCCGAGCCCCCCATCATCCTCACAGCTCACACCTGGCGCTGATGCCACTCTCCAACAACGCCTCTCCCCGTCCAGCACACAGCCCGCTTCTCACAGACACAGAGCCAACAGAAATCTGCTCCGGGTGCTGGCTTTTCTTAGTCCGTCTGCTTCCACAACTCAGACACGGACGTGCGCTGATGGCATTGAGGGAAAGCTTTCCAGGGCACAAAACTGTCATTCTGGTAGCACGCTTTGAGACGCCTTCAGAAAAAGCAGAATCAGCGCCACCTCCTAAGAGCCCTGCTGAGGAACCCCGCCCTCCTTGGGACACCCAATGCAGCAGAGCTCGAAAAACGAGGGGAAAAGTCAAGCTTGGAGTGGAAAAAGAGAAAATAAATACACCAGCAGTAAAAAAAAGCCTTCACACAGCAACAGTGGGAACCTGTCACATTTCTTCTTTCCTTGCTCTCTGCAACGAGATAAATACGAAGTAAAAAACCCACACGAAACACAAGGCAGAGCTGGGATTTTACAGGTCTTCGTTTTGGCTCTCTGGACGACAAGCGCCTCTTCCGGGACTGCAACACGATTTGGGCACTGGCAGAGAGAGAATGGAGGCAAAAGGTGCCAGAGAGCCCTTTCTATCGCCTTCAGCCCCTGCAGCTGTTCTGAGGGTTCCAGGGCACAGCTCGGGCCATTCCTAGATAAAAATGTTACGGCAATATCTTCAGAATTACTACCCATCTCCAGTCGGAACCTTCTACATTCCTGTAAACAAATGAGTGCATAGAGAGGGTTTCTCCCCAGCTGAATTCAGAGACAAATTCCTATTCTTTAGCAATACTTAGAAAACCGAATGCCTTGCCAGGTTTTAGCACTCTACACCCACTCACCCCTCCCTGTGCATTTGGTGGCAGCTTTGGGTCCCTCTGGGGGACGGCACCCAGCGTGACCCCCGCCCCTCGCCCGCCCCCCACCGGCTCCTGCACCGCAGTGGGGCTCCCTCTCCTGGGCACCTTGGGGTGCCCCCAACGGCATTAGAGCCCCGAGTCTTCACCCGGGGGATCCGCCGAGAGTCTCCGGCCCCGCGCGGGGACTCCTGCAAGGGCCCAGGGGCGCCGGGCTCCGGCCCTCGGGGCTTTATTCTCCGGCAGCCCGAGCCCCGCGGCTGCGGGGCAAAGAAGGAAAGGGGGCACGGGAAGAGAGGAGCGAGAGCAGAGCATGAGAGAGGGCGGCGAGGGAACTCGGGCTGTGAAGGAAAGCGCGACGGGAAGGGAAAGCCCAGGACGGGGGTACAGCGAGGGTGGACAGAGAAGGGAGAGAGGGGGAACAGAAGGGAGTAGCAGGGTAGGGACATGACTGGAAGGAGCTGGGTTTGTGGGGGGAGAGGGAATGGGGGAAACGGAGCGAGAGAAGGCAAATATGGGGAGAAGGAAGGAGGGGTAGAGAGAGGGACAGGCGGGTAAGCCTCCCAGAGCCCCGGCCGCACCCCGAGCCCCGCCCGGCTCCTCGCCCTGCCCGGGATGCTGGGCTCGGCGGAGCTCGGCTCGCTCCGGAGACACTCGGCTCGAGTCGGCTCTTCGGCTAAACTCAGCTATTGTAGCCTGCATTCGTCTCTTCTGCACCACTCTCAGAAGAGCTTTGGCCACGGAGCAAGGTAACCCTCAGGGCTTGTCTTGTTCGCTTCTTCCCCTGGGGAAACAAAGAGACATTGCGTGAGCACATTCACAGCTTCTGGGGAAATCCTGAAAAGGGCAGAAAAATCAGGGTTATGGGGAAGAGTTTGGTGCTGCCATGTTGAGTGCCAGCCAGTTCTGCCCCATAGCCATTGCAGGGGCTGCTGTGTAAAGCAGCAGTAGCAGAAGGGAAGGAACTGCATTTGTAGAGGAGCTCTCTTAGTGGCAGCAGTCATTCCCATCCCATAGAGGGCCTTTGGAACAGCCCTGGGATTGGCTTAGGTGTTTGGAGCAGGGTGCTGAGAAGGCCAAAATTCTGTGTTTGATGCGCAGCTGGGCTGGTCACTTCTCAGCAATTGACTTGATAATTCTCACAGCTCTGGAAATAAAGAGCAAATAGTCTTCACTAGCTTTTTAAACCACGGGGTTTTTCCTAGTGTTTCCCTGGGGCTCCAGTCCCACCCCAGGCACAACGGGAGCGGGAGCAGCAACGCCTCAGCCCCAGCGGCCGTCCCAGAGCTGCTGCTCCCGGCCGGGGCGCTGCAGCCCCCGGGGCTACGGGCACGGAGCAGGGGCTGCGGGAGCTGTGGTTCGTAGGGGAGCGCGGCGCTCATGGCGTTACCAGGCCGGGGGGACTTGGTGTCCCCCCGGGATTACCGGGCCGAGGGGGTGGTGGCGCTGAGCGAGCGGCGATGCCGATGGGGTCCCGGGGCCGGTACGGGCGGGTCTCGGTGTCCTTCCCGCTGCCAGCCGCGATCCAGAGGCTGCTCCGGGGAAGCGTCGTCCTCCTGGCGGCCATGGCAGCAGCACAGCACCGGCTCTCTGCCGCCGCAGCCGGAGCGTGCCTGGGGCCCCGGCGGGACCCAGCCCCGTGCTGGCCGCAGCCGGAGCAGCAGCGCCTATCCCAGAGCGGCTCTTCCCGCCCGCAGCGATGGTGGTCCCGATCCCAGCCCCAATCCCCTCTCGATCCTCCGGCCCCGGCACCCCTACCCTGCCCACCGAGGAAGAAGCGGCTCAGCCCAGGAAATACTGACAAGGCCAGGATGCAAATCCCTAGGTCCTACCTGAGCGCCTTGGATCCCGCGCAGCACCACCAACAGCCGCCGATCCGGATCTCCGCACAGCGCTCCGACCGACGCTCCCGCCGCCTCCCGAGATGAGCATCTCCCGCAGAAAACGGGACAGGCGCCGATCCGCCGGGATTTATGGGCGGGCGGGGGGCGGGGGGGAGGCGGGGCCCCGGGGGCGGGGCCGGCACAGGTGCGAGGGGCGGGGCCTGCACAGGTGTGAGGGACCCCAGTGCGGCTGCGCGGGGCGGGGCCTTGGGGGATTTAAGGCGCGGGGAGGGCACGGCGGAGCCATTTGCTCCTCGGCGTTGGTTAAGGGAGGTTGCTGCCGGCCAGGGCCCTATATCTCTTTTTCTCTGCGTTTCTTCTGCGTTTCTTCTGCGTTTCTGTTTTGTTGTATTTCTGTATACTTCTCTTTTCTACCCTCCCTTCCACCCCTCCCCCACCCCCTACACCCTCCCCCCCCCCAAACCCCCCCCCCCTCCCTCTCCCCCCTAGCCCTCCCCTCCCTCCCCCCCCTGCGGCCGCCCTTCTCTCGTTCTCTACTCTACCTACCCTACCCTACTTTTCCATCCTCTTCCTTCCCTCCCCAGCCGGACTTCCCCCCTGCCCCCCTCTCCCTGCTCCACCTCCCCCCCACCAGTCGCTCCCCACCCGCCCTCAATCCTGGTCCTTCCTCCACCCTGCCTTTCCCCCAGCCCTGTCCCCTGCTATCCTGCACACCCCGATCTCTCCCCACCTCCTTCTCCGTTCCCCTGTTCTCGTTCTTCATTCCCCGCTCTCCTTCTTTTCTCGTAGCAGCCGCGGGGCTCGGGGTGCCGGGCAATAATAAAGCCCTGAGGGCCGGAGCCCGGCGCCCTCGCCCTCGCTGGGGTCCCCACACGGGGCCGGAGCCGCTCTGCGGGTCCCCCCATTCCAGTCCAACACACCGCCCGACACCGCCGGGGCTCCGGCTTTCCCAACATCACACTGGGGGGGTCCTGGGGTGGGGGGCCCGAGTTACAGGGGCCCCCTCATTAGGAGGGGGTCCCAGGGGGGAGGGGGGGGGTTAGGAGGGGCCCCCTCATTAGGAGGGGGTCCCGGGGGGGGAGGGGGGGTTAGGAGGGGCCCCCTCCGGAGGAGGGGGTCCCTGGGGGGGGGGTCGGGGAGGGCCCCCTCCGGAGGAGGGGGTCCGGGGGAGGGGGCGGGGCCTGGGGGGGGTAATTCCCCCTCCAGGCCCCGATCCCTCCCCCGGACCCCCTCCTCCGGATGGGGCCCCGCCCCGGCCCCCTCCCGGGGGCCCCCTCCTCCGGACCGGGGCCCGGGGGGGGAGGGGAGGGTGGGGCGGGCGGGGACAGGACGGCAGGGGACTGTGGTGTGGCTGGCAAGTCTTTTTTTTAACGTGTGTTCACGCTGCAGAGTGACGTGCCCCCCCTGCTTCCCCCCCCACCCCACCCCACCCCACCCTCCCCCCCCCGGGCCCCGGTCCGGAGGAGGGGGTCCCCGGGAGGGGGCCGGGGCCGGACCCCGTCCGGAGGAGGGGGTCCGGGGAAGGGGGCGGGGCCTGGAGGGGGAATTACCCCCTCCAGGCCCCGCCCCCTCCCCCGGACCCCCCCCTCCGGAGGGGGCCCTCCCCGACCCCCCCCCCAGGGACCCCCTCCTCCGGAGGGGGCCCCTCCTAACCCCCCCTCCCCCCCGGGACCCCCCTCCTAATGAGGGGGCCCCTCCTAACCCGCCCTCCCCCCCGGGACCCCCTCCTAATGAGGGGGCCCCTCCTAACCCCCCCTCCCCCCTGGGACCCCCTCCTAATGAGGGGGCCCCCGTAACTCGGGCCCCCCACCCCAGGACCCCCCCAGTGTGATGTTGGGAAAGCCGGAGCCCCGGCGGTGTCGGGCGGTGTGTTGGACTGGAATGGGGGGACCCGCAGAGCGGCTCCGGCCCCGTGTGGGGACCCCAGCGAGGGCGGGGGCGCCGGGCTCCGGCCCTCAGGGCTTTATTATTGCCCGGCACCCCGAGCCCCGCGGCTGCGAGAAAAGGAGGAGAGAGGAGGACGGGGAGACAGGAGAGATGGGGGTGGTGAGGAGGGAGAGGGGTCGGAGTGAGGAGGGAAGCGGGAGAGGGAGGGAAAGGCTGAGGGGGGAGAAGAGGGACGGTGGAAAGAGGAGGAATAGAAGGGAGTAGCGGGGAAGGGACACGACAGGAACGAGTGGGGGGAGTCGGGTTTGGGAGGAGAGGAAAGGAGCGTTTTAGGGCGAAAGGGAAGTCGGAGAAAGAAAGGGAATTCGCGGAGAAGGAAGGAGGGGTAAAGAGAGGGACAGGAGGGGAGGCCGAAGCCTCCGCGCCTTACCTGCGGAGTCCGCACAGGGAGCTCCCGTCCGCACCGTGCTCAGTGAGCAAATGGCGGTCGAGGCGATTTCCGGGGTCTAAAACACCTCGGCCCCGCCCCGCGCAGCCGCTCTGGGGCCCCGCACACCTGAGCCACGCCCGCCGTGCACACCTGAGCCGGCCCCGCCCCTGGAACCGCCCTTTGTGCCGCCCGGACCCGCCCCTTTCCTCGCCCCCTGTTTTCAGGCCCCGCCCCCCGCACCGCTGTCCCCCGCCAGGCGGGGGCGCCACGCTCGCACCGCGCTCCGTGTCCGCCAGAGGGCGCCCTGCGGGGTTCCGGCCCCACACGGCGGCTCCGCACCGGGGAACGGCCGCGATCCCGCACCCGGCAGCGCCCCGCGGCCATCCCGGGCCCCAAACCGGTCCCAGGCCCGGTGCCGCTTCCATCCGCCCGACGGGAGACAGGCGGCACCGCCCGGCACACCCCAGCGGCGCTCTGTCCCCCACCCCCGGCCACGGTGGCGGTGGCACCGTCGCAGCGCCCCGTGCCCGCGCTCCGTGGCCCCGCCCCTCGCACCTGTGCCGGCCCCGCCCCCCTGTCCCCCCCGGTCCCGGGGCCATCGCTCGGGAGCCTCGCTCGGCGCTGTGCGAGCCCCGCCCGACGGCTGCTCCCGCCGGGGACCGCTCGGAGCCCGGGGCGCTGCGGCGGGGGCGTGACCGCGGCCCGGGCTGTGGGGGCCGAGCGGTGCCTGGCTCTGCCGGGGGTCCCGGGCGGTGCCGCCTCTCCCCCGTCGCCATCGGGACTGGCATCGCTATGGGGCGGGAGGGGCCTGGCTCTCCTGAGCCCCCAGAGCCCCGTCCCGGTGTCACCTTCCGTGTCCCGGCGCCGCGGGCGGGAGTGGCGGGCAGGGAGCGGCAACCGCCGGCCCCGCCTTCCCGTCCCGCTCCGTCGGGCCCGGGCTCGCCGAGCCCCGGCCGGGACCCGCCCAGGCCCGGGGACACCGCGGCTCCCGCCCCGCCTCCTGCTCCCGGCACCTCCCCGCCCGCCCGGCAACGGCCCCGGGGCCTCCGGCACCCGAGACCGCGGCGGGGGCTGGGCCCGAGCCCCCGAACGCCGGCCCCACGGGCCCCGCAACGCCGCGCTCCCGGCTCCTCACCCCCCGCCCATCGGCACCGGGGAGAGGCCCCACGAGTGTCCCGGCTCCGGGAAGAGCCTCGGCCGGAGCTCGGCCTCCGCTGCCGAGCGCCACGAGGGAGCGCCTGAGCGCTTCTCTCAGCCCCGAAGCCGCCCCCGTCAGGCCGGGGCCGGGCCCGGACAGCGCCGGGCCGGGGCTCCGCCTTCCGAGCACTCGCACGCAGCATTTGGGCTCTGGCCCCGGGCCCCAAAATGCAGGACTCGGCCTCTGTGCTCGGGGCCTGGGCGAGCCTCGTTCTGCACCCCCGAAACACAGGGCTCAAGTCCCGGCTTCACAGCCCTGGGCCTGCCCAGGTGCGACTGGGTCCAAGTGCCAGCAGCGGAGGACTTTGTCCCTGAGCCCTCCTCACCTTCACCACCACAAAAACAAAAAAAAAACCAAAAAAACAACCCACAGGACTTAAGACTCCGATTCTGAGACCAGAAAAATGCCCAGTTTATTAGTCTCAGTTCACAGGGTCGTGGAATTGACTGCGGACATCCCCACAGATGGTGACAGGGAATGGACCTCTCACACATTTGATTCTCTTGTGAGAACTGCTTCAGGCTAGCAAAAACCCACCGGTGGCATTAGAAGGTAGGAAGCCTGCCCTGAAAGGATGCCATCAAATGCAGCCTGTCTGCAATACCGCGTTATCCCAGCACTGTGATATCCCATTATCCCCAGCCGGGTTTGTTGCGCCGCCTCCGGCTCACGGAGCGATGCCGCTCGTGGCTCCGGGCGCTGCCGCGGCGCAGGGAACAGCCCCGGATCCGCTCGGCCCGGGGGAACCGAAGGGGTGCCCGGTGCCCGGGCCGGAGCGGGCAGCAGCGGGTGACGATCCGGGCGCTCCTGCCCGGCTCCTGAGCTCAGGCTGAGGCAGCTCCCAGCTGCCGCCGCCGGGAAGGAGCAGCTCCCCCAGGATGGCCGCGCTCCCGGGCCATGGCAGCTGCCCCGCCTCTCTCAGGGACAGCGGCAGCTTTGGCAGAGGAAGCGGAGCCCCAGCGGCCGGGGCTCGGCAGCAGCCGGCACCGAGCCCCTTGCACTGAGCGGGAGCAGAGGGACGGGCCCGAGCCCGGGACTCGCATCCCGCCCGGGGACTCGGGGACGCGGGCTCTCTGCTCGGGCTCCGCCAGGAGGAGGAGGCGGATGGCAGTGCCCGGGAGGAGCCGGCACTGCCGGCCGACAGGGCTGCTCCTGAGGGGAGAACTCGCTCTGTGCTCCTTGGGCGGGATCAAGGCATGGCCAGAAGCTTTCATATTCATTTGACAGACTCTCGCACACCACCGTGCAATGTGCAAAACAGCCACAATGGCTGCAGGCTCCAAAACAAAGATAAACAACGCTGTTCTCCTTTCCTTCTTTATGCAATCACACCTAGCTAAGATTATTAACACCTGATGCCATTTTCTTTTTAAAACTCTGGCCAATACCATGCCACTGACTAGGTCTCAAAAGCAGAAAGATCAAAAGCAGCCATCAATTAAACCTGATGCCAGATCTTTGCCCATTTAGCTTTCCATGACAGAAATCCCTGGATGGATCCACGTGCTCCTCTGCTCCTATGAGCTGAGCTTTTGTCTCACTCTAATCTCATTAGGATGCCCTAAATCCAACCTGTTCTGCTTCTCAGAGCAAAGCCTGCTGCCATCTCTGCTCGTGACCTTTGCATGGCACACATTGTTAGCACACTGATAATGGCAAAACAAATTGCCTCTCCTTCTTTCTGCAGTGAACAGTTCAGCTTCTGGGGAGCTGCAGCTGTGACACTCAGGAGCAGCTCTCAACATGATCTCAACGTGGAGCTGCTCTTTTCCAAGTCTGCCCCTGTAGAAAATCCACGTTGTTGGAACATGTCACCAAAGCGGGAATTGCTGCTGAAGCTCTCTTAGCGCACAAGGGAAGAGCCATTCCTGGGGCTAAAAGTGCCTCATTCCCACTTTTCACTGCTCTTGGATCAACCTATGCGTTAATTTCCATCTTCCTGAGAAGCCTCGATCTTTTGTAGTGGAATCAAAGCAAAGCAGAGCTGAGCAAAACCCCACCTGTTGGTATGATCCTTCCCACCGCTTTTATTTCTGTTGTTCCAGCTGTATTTATTTCATTAAGAAAAGGCAAATCCAAGAGTCTTTTTATCTCCACGGTTTACGTTGTCTTTTGCTGGCTTGGACTTTTGCTTTCTGCCCTTTGCCGGCCTGGGCACGTTCACCTTTCAGGATTCCCATCCTCTGCCCTGCCCGGGCTGCCTCTGGCTCAGCTCCCTTGGCAGCCGCTGCTTTCCCCGGAGCTCTCGGCCTTTAGCTCGCGTCCCTTTCCATGGGCCACGCCTCCCAGCTGCTCCAGCCCGGGCATTCCCGCCTGGGAACGAGCAGGGATTCCCTGCCCTGGCCCAGGGAAGCCTCCAGCCCTGCAGGCATTGCCGAGGCTCAGGGGCCGCTCCAAACCCTTGGTGTCCCAGAGCTCCCGGATCAGTGCCAGGGCAGAGCTGGGAGCCTGTCCTAAGGAGCGGGACTGACGCACGCGGTGCCTGCAAAGTCCCCCATGGATATTGGATCCAGCTGGCAGGAGCAGGTGCGGCCAAGGCAGCCCATTCCATTTCCTGCCCACCCAGAGATCTCCAACACTTCAGCCTGCTAAGGCTGGCACACAAATCCCTGCCCTGGGGCACGGCAGCGACTGCAGCGCACCCAGGAGAAGGCAAACGCAACGATCGGGGCTCAGTTCTGAGGCTGGGATCGAGATTCATTCTCAGCCATTTCAAACAAGGATTGCACCCCACTGCTCAGTTCTTTCTGCAGCTGGGACTCCAGGAAGAGGAGAAAGGAGGCAGTTTACTGGAGCCCCTTTCCTGCCAACCACTGAGGGTCATTCAGGTGCTGAGAGAAAGCACAGCCAGGGAGAGCTGCCCCTGCTCTGCTGGGATTGCACCCTGCACTCACGAGGGACAGGTGGCTCTGTGAAATCGGTCTCAGCATTTTTGTGCCTCATAGCTCCCACTGAAATGATTTTGAGCAGAACTGAGACTGCTGAGTGTCACTGAGCAGCACAGGAGACATTCAGCAATGCCCATGAGCTGGCAGAGATGATTGCTGGCAATGATGGCCTGAGCCCTGGGCTGAGAGTTCCAGTGGCAGCAGCAGTGACAGCCACCCCGGCATTGCCCAGAAACAGGAGAAACCGGCCCTGCCCTTTGTGGGGAGAATGTCTGCTGTGCATCTCCCAGTTACAGCCCCAGCGCTCCCTGGGCTCCTGCAGACATTAATTCCTTCTGCCTTCCTCACAAGGCATCTCCACTCGTTCCATCGTCTGCCTGCTGGGCACTGCTCCCCTCCTTATTGCACAGGGGAGAGCGAGGAACTCTGCAATTGCCCCGCACTGAGCTCCTCTCACATCATCTCCCACTCCTTTCATGGCCTCACCAGCCAGGAGAAACATTCAAGGGGGAACAAAGTGTGCTGTGCTCTAGGCAAGGCCAGAAAGGGGCCTGAAGAGACAGATTTTGGATTAACTCTGGCTGGAGAAAACCAAAGGCAATCAGGATTGCCTCAAAAAGAAAACAAGAAAGGAGGGGATTGTTAAAGCCATTTATAGAGTCACATTAAGGTCTGTTCCTCAAGGTTTTGGCTTTTGGCACTTCTGTAAGCAACATGACAGACTGTGGGCAACTGTGATAGACTGCACAGAGGAGGGGGGTGTTTTATAAATAATATTAATAATATAAAAATAGATATATCATTTTTATAATGTATATTTCTTATATTTATTTATAATAAATATTTATAGATATTGGTATCTATAATATATATTTGCATATTTGCATTTCTATTTTTATATTATTTATAAAAAAACCCAGCCTATAACCAAATCAAATCAAAAAATCCCCGATTTATTTTAACTATATTTAAATATTTTTATATTTACAATCTATATTTATATATCTTTGGATATATATAAAATAGACTCTCATTTATATATATTATGGTGTGCTACAATAATATACTATATATTATAGTTTTTTATATTTATATATTTGTTTTCTATATTTATGTTTACCACTATAATTTTATATTTATTTTTAAATTTATATTGATTTCTATTTTCATCTATATATTAGAACATATAAGTTCATTAACCCAACACATCAGAACCACAAAAATCCTGCGCCTTCATCAGCACCGGTGCACAGCCCACGCTCATCCCATCGCAGCATATCCAAACAAAACCTATTTCTAGGACTAACAGAACAAAGACCCCACAACATTTAACCCTAAGAAAAACTCAAACCAACCTAACTGTAAAGAAACTTTAAATCCCACTATAACTAGCCCAAAACCTCTGTACATTCTCATTATAAGCTTCCTCCTAAACCAATGGCTCAAAAACCCAAAAAACTCAGATACACATTGAAAATGACAGAACTGCTAGTAAAAACAAACATCCATAAAAAAAATCAAACCAACTCACTAAACTCAAAACCCTACAACTGACCCTAAACATTACTAAAAAAGCTCCCAAAGTTCTACCTTTATGCTAACTCACAAATAATAATCATCAATAATCTATAAAAATTATTTTTAAAAATTAAAAAAAAAAGCATGAAAATAAAAAATCAAAACTATTAAAATACTAAAAAATATCACTACCCAAATTAAAAGACATATTGCCTATAAAAACCCACCATATAAATGCCCCTGTCTCCAAAAATAAAACTAAAAAAAAAAATCAAACCAGAAAGAAATTGGAACTTAGGAACGCTAAAACCAGAACGTTCAAGAAGTTCCACCATATCCCTGATCATACACCAACTACAAACAACGTGAAACAATACAAACAATTCTTAAAAACCACCTTAAAACCACTACATTAAAAACCCTCTCAACAATTAAAAACTGCATTGAACAAAAGCCATCTAATAAATTAACACCCAAAACTCCAGCAGCCCAGCTGGCCCTACCAAATCTCTCTGTTGATACATACAGTAAACAAAACCAATACCCCAGGAATACCTATCAGAAGTCTAGGAAAGAAACCTCTTGAAATTAATCCTACCTCAAATACAAACCAACCCGTCCAGAAAGTGAGCTTCACTCAAAAAACTATTTACACAGAGTTAGTAAGACCAAGAAATAAAACAACACACCATATACCACCAATGAATATCACAGTGAAGGAAAAAAACCCCCACTTTTTTTTCTTTTTTATTTTTTAAACTAACTTCTTTTATTAGCTAGAACAAAAGGTTTTGCCAGGACTGTAACAACTTCTCCTTCTTCTCCTTCTGAAATGTCCCTTCTCCTTCCCAAATTCCTTACAAATTCTGAGTTTAAATCCAAGCCAAAAGCAAAATTCGTGCACTTTTGAGTCCGGTGCTCCTGTCAGATTCTCTGTCTCACTCCACATCTTCTCACACTTTCAGTCTGAACGCTGTCCTGCCCTGATGAGTTTGACAGAAGCATTGGCACATGTTAAGAGAGCATTTCCCTCCCTGCCTCCCTCCCTCCCCAGAGCTGGTTTCCTTAGCGCATTTCAATCGATCCCAAGCCCGCAATGATGCGCGCTCACCTCAAGGCTCACAGCAAGCACGCAGCAGCTCAGGCTGACTTGGCTCCAGGGCTCTGTGCTTGGATAGCTGAGAAAACTTCCGATGAGCCTCTGTTCCAAGACATTGGAATGCAATTTCCCGGTGCATTTGGTGGCAGCTTTGGGTCCCTCTGGGGGACGGCACCCAGCGTGACCCCCCCACCCCTGGCCCGCCCCCCACGGCATCAGAGCCCCGAGTCTGCACCCCCCCTTTTCCTCTGTTTAGAAACTACACTGGAACTTTTTTCTGGAAACAAAGACATGACCTAAATCCTCTCCCCACGTCCCAGACAGATAGATATTCAGTTCATAGTTGACTGGACAGCAGTTTCTTAAATAGAATGATAAACAATATGGGAACGTTTTAGCTACAAGCAATTAGGCAAATCTGAACAAGGTATTGGTGGCCAGCCACTGCAGTTATTTTGAAGCAATTTTTAAGACAATCAAATACTGATTCCACAAAAATAAAGCAAAAAGCTGACTACTGGCTAAGAAAAAATTAACTTTTGACAACAACAACATTCCAAGGACACAGGCTTTTTCCCAATGTCATACCTTATTACTACCTCTCTTGGGAATTCTCAACATGTATCCCAAAAGGAATAAATAAATCCCTCAGAGTGTCCTAAAGCACAAAGTAGCACGCTGGAGCTCCTCACACTCCCAGGAGGGCAGCACAGCGTGCACCCAGTCTGCAACAAATTCTGCTGAGTGAGGGTCTGCAAACAAAGGTTCAAGTGATGAACTGAACTCATTTTCAAGGGATGCTTTCTAAGCACAGAAGCACAACAAAGAACAAGCAGAAACAATCCTTACAAACACCTGCGAGTTTTATTTAGCATGGATGCGACTGATTGCCACCCTATGGCTTCTCCCTTGGGTTTGTCTGTAGGTTCAGGAGGATGATGATGCACACTCTGCCTTCCCTGAACCCCCACAGCAGCCGAGCGCTGCCCAGCGCGTTCAGACCATCGGGAACTGGGTCACGCACACCCGGATGGGCCGGAGCTGCTCTGCTGGAGATTGGGGAGACGAGAGCAGAGAGGCGCTGGCCCAGGCGTGGTCCCAGTTCTGTTGCTGTGGGCCGAGAAGGAGTTTGCTCCCAACAGCTGCAGCCACCCTCAGCTCGCTCCCGTGGTGAGTATCAATGGCACACAGAGGCAGCCTGAGGAAATAATGGGCTGGGCTCTAAGGGCTGGGACAGGCTCTGATTTTTTGTTTTGTATTTGCACGATGATCGGTACAACAGGGCTCTGATGGATGACTCGGCAGCACGCAATTAAAAACTCCTCCATAGGATTACATGGATTTGTAGGAAAAGACAAAAGCCCATCACCCTTCTGAAATCTCCTTTGAATCCCAAGCACGTGGATTGTCACTGTACTGCAACTTCCAGGTTTTCAAAGCAGCTTACTTCTGAAGGCCAGGAAACATTTATTCCTACAGAAACAATGGGCAACACCCAGGCTAATCTAAGCACTTCTGTTTAAGAGGGGATCTGCCAGTGTGCCAGTCCAGCCTAAGGTGTGCTTTATTTCAGTCTAACATCTCCACAAAATTCTTCTCACATCTCCCAACCCTGAAATCTTATTTTTCCCTAAAGCTTCTCATCATTAGCAAATTCAAAGTAACGTGGGTTTTTTTTACAACATTCAAAAATGTCATGCTGGACTGAACTAGAGAGTAATTTTCCAATATAAACTTAGCAAAGTCTGAATTGACTCGTCCAGACAGAAAACCTGCAAGTGAACACCTACACCTGCCTAAAAAGACCTAACGAGCCCCTGGCAGCCACCGGCATCAAAGCACAGTGGATGTTTCTAATCCAGGGGAAGGAGAACAATATCACCTTTTGTTCTCTCCAGTTTGTTTCCTCTGCAGTCACATTTGCTCCTTATGATTTTTACAGTCTCTGTATCTTCTCGGGCAGCGCTGAGTCTGACGACCGGGATACGAGAGTCCTTCCCTGCCCTACGGAGAGAACCAGGAAAAAAGTTAAAAAAAGAACAGGGCAGTTTGAAGTTAATACTTCCGACGAGAAGCAGCACCTGACAAACAGAGCAATGGTGAACAAAGCGTGACACCTCCCTGGGGACAGAAGACTGACAAACTCTCCGGGATTTACAATTCCAGTAACCAAGCCCTTCAGCACAGCAGCCAAGTGTCCCATTAGGTGGTGCTGCACCAAGGAATGATCCCAGAGGTTCCAAAGAGTGAAATGCACATTATTGTCCAAAGACATAAAATCTTGCAAAATAACAAAACTACAATAGATCTAAACTACAGGGCAAGAGTACAAGTGTTAACTTGAGGAGCTGGAACCATCCAGGTGAGCAACTGCTGACTGGATCCTCAACAGAGTTTGAGGAACCCTTCAGGATACAGAAGGGTTTTCCCCAGCAATGTCACAGGCCGGGTTTTGATAGAAGTGCACTTGCCAGATGCTCAGAAACGTCACCCATCCTCCTCCGGGTGTCCTGAGAGAGCTGCGAATGGCTCTCACGTGGTTTGAGCTGGTTCTGTAAGGGCTCAGGGTGAATTCACCAGATGCAACCAAACTGGGCAACTCCCAGTGGGACAGAAGGAACCCAAAGCTTGTTTCACCCAAAGCTTGGGTAAGCAGAGCTCCAGCAAATACTGAGGAAACAGACAGAACAGGGTAACAAATAATAAGCCTACTTTTTTTTTTTTTTATGTAGGTGAACAAAACAATTAAGGAGAAGGTGAAAAACTCACCATGACTGAAAATTTCATCATCTGTGAGCTGACCATCCTTAGCACAGAGGACTCCAAAATTAAAATTCACCGATCCCTGGGAAATGAAACCAACTATTATATGGTAAACACTCAAACAGAAGACATAAAAATTTGTTTCCTCTAAGGACTTTCAAGTATGTGTGTAGATTTGTATACATCCTACACATTAGAACATACATCTCATACCACCTCCTAATACATAATAATTTACCTTTACATTTACATAGTATAGCATAAAATTATTTCCTTAAATTGTTGCTCTATTATTATTAAGTTGGTGCTTTAAGCTATTTTTGCTGTCATGTTCAAAAAAACATTAATTCTTTTGACTGTAATGAGCAATTGATTTCCAAGTCATCAAAAGCCCATCAGAATACAAAGCTGTATTCACTGGACGGGTCTGTGAGCTAGAAGTAGTCAGGCTTGTACTCACCTCTTGCTCTTCCAAAACCAATAAATCCTGTCAACAAAACCAGTATCTTTAGCCCCCTCCTACTAAAGACTCTACAAGGATGATGGTTTTATTTGTGTTTAGAAGTTTGGATTTGAAATGGCCAGTTCAATGGATAAAGACAGTTCAAGCAGTATCACATTACAATTATTATTATATTATCTGCTCCTGGAAGAGACAAACCAGTAGTATCTATACTTAATTACTTTTATTTCCAGAAAATAATAAAGAAAAAGAACCAAACAGAAAAAAGTCCCTTCCTACCTTTTGTATCTCAGGATGAAAAATGTCTCTTGGGCTCTTCTCCAGTTTCTCCAGGCTCCTGGCACTGAAATGCAAATGAACGAGTGCTTTATAGGAGGGCAAGTGCACATTCCAACCCCGAACCCCCAACCGATGGCAGTTACAGCGCTTACAAAATGAATCCTTCCCAGAGCCTCTGGGAAATGGAACGGTTTGTGCAACTGCCATTTCTTCCCCAAAATACTGACTCCCAACACTTCCTAAACTTAGTTTGCATTTTAAAAACAGAAATTAGTGAGACTCAGGGTGGAGATCAGGTTGAAATTGATTTCCTTCTAAAGCACAGGGCTCTGTTCCATCACCCTTCACTTGGGCTCCACACAGAATCACGGGGAGCATTTTAGGAGGGCTCAATAACCAACTCTATTTCTCTCTTTTTCTAGTTCTCTCTCTTCCTAAATAATTCAAGGCAAGTCAAATGAAAAATGACAAGTTCAGCATCAAATTCACACTTTTTCCCTTTGTCTGGTCAAGAACAGGCTTTAAAACCACTTCTTGCTGCCTTCAATGATTAAGACTTGCAAAACCATTTTTACAAGGTTTTATAGATTGATCATAAAAACCACAGAATGCAAGCTCTGAATTACAGGAAAAGGTACACAGGCAAATATCTAAACTGATCACTGTTTGTAAATCCATACCTTAACATAGATTGCACTGAGAATGGTTTTGTGGGACTCTAAGGGAGACAGATTTTCTGAGTACCCTGTAAACAAGAAAAGCTAGGATATATTACAGGACATACCCACTTTTTCTGCATATTCAAATAGCATTATCAATAAAAACAATTAAGTTAAAAAAGAAGGAAGAAAACCAAGGGAATTTTACTCAGCTATATTTACTGCCGATTTAGAGAAAAAAAAAAAGTCACAGGTGCTGCAAAGAAAAAAAAAGTGAACCATAAATGCCTACAGTAGAACTTTAAACCAATTGCTTGGATAAAAGCAGCTCATGGAACACGAAGTAGAAAAAAAGCGAAACCAGTATCAGACCTGCCTATTTTCTTACCATTGCACAAGAAAATCCGACAAGCAGTATAAAGTCACTGCCTAAAACCGATCCTAGGATGTAACCAAGAACAACTGAGGCATTTGCTAATCTAAACGGAAACCTTTTCCGGACCCTAGTGTCAAATCACACGTTTTGTCTCTCAGCAGCTCGAGGCTGGAGAGCATTTCCCCTGGGGTCGGGAGGGCAGGGGCACAAGGGGCTGAGTTTGCCGATCGCACCTGTGCCATCAGAAGGATCCAGCCCGGCGCTCCTTGCGCTCGCCATTCTCCGGGCCATCGCTGTGTTTTACTGCTCAGCGATGCCGCTCCATCTGTTTGCGTGGAAGGAAGAGCCACGAGCACTGAGGCACTCAGCAGCCGTGTCATGCCAGCGATGTCGAGCGCTCTCTGCTCGCAAGGCTGAGCCCGCCGCGGAGCCGCCTCCGCAGCCGCTCGTCCGCCCCCGCCCGCAGCAGCGGCAGCGGCCCGAGGGAGACGCTGCAGCTCGGCGGCTCCCGCGCCTCCGCCAGCCCGAGGGCAGCCGCCGCACAGTGACCGCGGCAGCGCCCGGCGCCGCTCGCCCGGGGCGGCTCCTGCAGCTCCCGGCCCGCGGCAGCAAAGCACCGCCTGGCGCTCCGCCATCGGCGGGCGGCAGCGCGCCCCGCCCGAGCCGAGCCCCCGCCACCGGGACCGCTGAGCGAGGCCGAGGCACCGGGCGGACGCCCCTTCCGCGCCGCTCGGCTCCGTGCGGGCGGCCGGACGGAGGCTTCGCCCCTCCAGCGTCGCTGCCGCGGCTCCGTCCCGCGCGGGACAGGCACCGGGAGCTCCCCGCGCCCAGCCCGCTCCCCCGGCGCGCGGCCGCCTCGGGCCGCCAGCCACTCCTACGGCGCGTCGGCCGTTGCGTCAGACGCCGCGCTTTACGGCCGCAGGGCCTGCCGGGAGTTGGAGTCTCGGACTGACAGCCACCGCTCCGTTTGCCGCCACCGGGAGCTGCGGTCCCGCCAGGGCATCAAGCGGCTCCTTCGCTCCCGGGCGCGGAAGCACCTTAGGCAGCACCGCCCCTCCCGAATGTCCTTTCTTTTCCACTCCAACTCTTTTTTTCACTCCAACTCTTTTTTTCTTTTTTTCTGTTTTTCACCCCCTTTTCCACTCACATGCTTCCTTTTTCACTCTCACCCTTTTCCTTTTTCACTTTTCTTTCTTCCTTTCCTTTCCCTTCCCCTTTTCTTTCCCCTTTCATTTCCTTTCCTTTCGTTTCTTCTTTTCTTTGCTTTCCCCTTTTCTTTCCTTTCCTCTTTCCCTTCCCCTTTTCTTTTCTTTCCTTTCCTCTTTCCTTTCCTTTCCCCTTTTCTTTCCTTTCCCCTTTTCTTTCCCCTTTCCTTTCCTTTCCCCTTTCCCTTCCTTTCCTTTCCTTTCCTTTCCCCTTTCCTTTCCTTTCCTCTTTCCTTTCCTTTCTTTTCCCCTTTTCTTTCCCCTTTCCCTTCCTTTCCTTTCCCCTTTTCTTTCCCTTCCCCTTTTCCTTCCCCTTTCCCCTTCTCTTTCCCCTTTCCTTTCCTTTCCTTTCCCCTTTCCTTTCCTTTCCTTTCCTTTCCTTTCCTTTCCTTTCCTTTCCTTTCCTTTCCTTTCCTTTCCTTTCCTTTCCTTTCCCCTTTTCTTTCCTTTCCCCTTTTCTTTCTTTCCCTGTATTTCTCATCTTGGCTTTGCGTTTTAGCTTTAGAATAAAAAAGCAGCAGTAGAAAAGTTCAGGCTACCTGGGAGTAAAAAAAAAACCCCAAACTATAATGATTTTAGGAAAACTATTTCCTCCCTGGGAGCCTGAAATTTTCTACAGCTGCACGTGACATAGAGCTTTTATTCCTTCTTATAAATTGTCTCTACTTTATACAGCGCCCCCTGCGGTCTGCACCGGCGCACTGCAGGCAGAGTGCCGCCTAATGACGTCACCTCGTCGACACGGCGCCCCGCCCCAGCCACGCCCCCAGCGCCCCACGAAAGACCCCAAGGCATAGCCGTTTTGCCAGCTGCCTGATCAAAATGCCGACACCCACCTCGAGCCCTAGAAACGATTTCCCGCGACGCCGAACCCTGCAGGCGAACCGGAATGCCATCACTGCAATTGAAACGCCACAGAAAATCTCGTCGGGGCCGCGCCGGCGTCGGTGTTCCGTGCAGGCATTTCGGAGAGACCGCCGGGGGTCCTCCATTTTCCCGCTCTTTTGGCCGCCATTTTGAGAAGGTCAAACGAAGTCCCCCACGCGCCACTCCCAATAGGGCTGTGGCCCCTCGGCTGCCTGGCGGCGGCGGGCTGCAGTACCGCGCTCTGCCCACAAGGCGGCAGCACTGCCGCCCACCCCAGCCGGGGGCGCCTCGCGCCTTGGGGCTGCGGGCAGCCAAGGCGGCAAAAAAGAACAGGGGCCATCCCCCCCAAAAACTCCTCTAAAAATAAATGCCAAAAACCTGCCTCTTACCCAACAAGAACCAAACAAGCCCCCTTTCTTTAAAACCATCTTTAAATAAATTTTATATTTATAGTTTATTTATATTCACATGCATATTTATACCGGACATTGATGTGTTACGTCATTTATACAATCTATTACGTCTATTCCTATTATCTGTATTTATTTATATTTTGTGGTTTTATAAATATCATTATATATTGATTGTATATTTCTAGATTTAGATTTCTATCATACTTTTGTTATTCCAAATAAAAATCCGATCTCTAACCAAACAAATACCAAAAAGCCCTTCTTTTAAACTATATTGAAATATTTTATATTTATAGCTTGCATAATTATATTCACATTTATATTCACAGTTTATACTGATGCATTATATTAATAATTATATATAATACTTATAATCTTCACATTATATAGATAAATTATTATTTTTATTATGTACCATATCTACTGCTACAATTTATTTTTTCTAATATTTTCAATTTTTATATAAATCTTTATGCATTCATGAGATATTTTTACACTTAGATTTCTACCTTTATATTATTTGTATTTGTAGTTTTTATAATAAAACCCCTGCTTTTGCCAAATAATAAACAAAACCATCCTTTATTTTAAACTACTTTAAAAAATACTGTTATATTTATATTTACCATATCTATAAGTTTTTATATATTATATCATATTGATGTGCTATATTTATAGCTATTTTATAGCTATTTCCTATAATATATTATAATAAGATATATACAGTATTACTTGTATTATGTGTTGTATGGATTTATGTCACTTTATATTTACAATTATTTAATAATTATATATATATCTGCATAGATTCGCAATACATTTCTATATTTAAAACTTCGTTTGAGTTGTGTTTATATTTATCATCTCTATTTATATATCTATAAACATACACAATACTCTATTAAAAAATACGATATCTTATTGGAATATAGCATGACTCATGTTACGTGTTAAATTTTAAATATAGACCGAATATATCAAAATAAAAGTTTATTCCCATTTCTACACATCTATTTGTTCAGTTTAAATATAGCTATCGTTAGAATTTTACATTTAAAATCCAATTCCTAAATAAAACGACAAAACAAACAGCATCGAATTCCCACCAATATCTTCCAAAACCATCAAGATACCTCCACCAGCCAAACAACTGCCAGCGAAAAAAACACACAACACTCTTTTCACTAACAGTTCTCATCACATCAGAAAAATGGAACAAAACGAAAAGAAAACCCTTGAGAAACACACGCAGCAAATCACAAAAACCTTTAAAAAAACCCAAACCAACTTACTCAACTCCAAACAGTGCCACTGACCCTGGACGTTATTAAAAAAATAACCAAAATTCTACATCTACACTAACTAAAGAATAAGCAATACTCTGTCAAAAGAACTTTAGAAAGCAAACTAAGTAACGAAATAGAAAAAAAACCCAAAAATTTCAACCACTAAAAAATAAGAATATAACTACCCAAATAAAAAAACTACTTTAAAAGACCCACCATATAAATACCCACGTTCCCAAAAATAAAACTGATCAACAACCAAATACATCAAAGGACAACAGAAAATGGAAAAAAAAAAAAAAGGAAATAAATTAAAAAAAAAAAAGTCCCCCAAACCAAATCAACTTAAATTTACAACAAAAAAATTATTCCCAACGGAAGAATAAACCCATAGAGCCTCAATCTATCAAAATAACAATACCACCCAGAAATAAACACAAAGCCTAAAGAGAAACGTAACCATTAACAAGATCTCCCAAATGATCCGTAACAATAAAACATACACTACAATCAAGCAAACCAAATAAATAAAAGCCCTGGAAGACGAGAAACACGAACGCAATTAGAGAGATTTTAAAAACCCCGCCGCTATTAACGACACGACGCCACCTCGAACCCACCGAAACAAACGCTACACGCCCACGCTAATAAAAGCCACCGCGACAGAATTAAAATCCGAGCCGCTGCTTCACGCAACGATCCGTAAAAACCATTGCACGCCTTTAAAAACATCATAGCCCCGCAGAAAAAATATCCGACTGCAGAACTCGATTCAAACCAAACCTTTATCGTCACCACCCGAACCGAGAACCGTACCGGTCAGGAAGAACGCCATAGCCCTTAGCGCACACCCACTGCGACCAGAACAAACCCGTGCGATCGATCCCTACAAAGCACCTCCGAACCACGACACCCAAGAACTTGCGGCAGCCCAACCCCGCGCTGCCGGCCCCGGACGGAGCGCGGCTCCCGGCGGCAAAGCGGCTCCTCCGGCGGCTGCTCCGGCGCGCAGGGGCGGCGCCGCCCCGGAGACCGCCCCGCCCGCTGCCCCTGCCCGGCGGGGCCGGCACCGGGCCCGGGGCGGACAGAGCGGCCGGCACCGGCCGGGCCGGCGCAGCAGCGCCCGCGCCGCCTCTGCCGCCCTTGGCCGGCCCGGCGCCAGCTGCCCTCGGCTCCGCACGGCGGCTCGCACCGGCAAAGCGGCTCCGCCGCTGCCGCGCCAAATTCCCCGTGCGCCTCGGCACCCGCCCGGCCCGGGCCGGCAGCGCTCCCGAGCGGCAACGCTCCGGCCCGGGCCGCGGCCACAAGAAGCGCCCTCAAATGCAGCGGCACAGCCCGACTGCAGCCCTGCAAACGCCGCCAGAGCTGCGGCTGCCCGCAACTCAACCCCGAAACTTACGCCGCGGGCGGCGCTCACCTCGCTTCAACAAGGGCAAAGAAATGGGTTCTCCCCTTCAAGTTCATCCCCCGGGAGAGCAGAAAAGAAGGGGTGTTCCTCAAATGAAAGCCTTCAAATGATGGGGAAGGGGGATTTTGACCTCAATTCAAACCCTTTAAAAGGAGGGACACCAGCGCTGTCCCCTCAATTTAAACCTTAGGACGATGAAAATGGGCTGGCTGCCTTCAAATCAAACCCATCAGATGACAACAATACTTTTCCCGTTCCCGTTCAAATGGAACGCAGGGATTCCCTGTCACCCCTGGGATACCCCTAACAGCCGGGAAAAGGCAGCTTTTCCTTCAATCAACACCCTTCGAACCGCAGGTGAAGGCGGATCCCTCCCAGTTCAAACACGGACAATATTAGGAGAGTAGCTGCTTGCCTCTCCTTCATTTCTTTTGTCTTCACAAGCTCCGTTTTTGTTCCTGGGGAACCGGGGAGGGGGGGCTGCCAAGATCAAATTGAAAAGGGAAAGGACCAAAGTCCCCGCTCCAAATCCACACGCGCTCACCTGTTCGGCTGCTGCTTCCCGGCACAAAGATTCGTCCCTCGGCACCTCCTTGAAGCGATGCTCCGCCTATCCAAGCGCGTATCCAGGTGTTCGTTCCCCCAGACGCTGCCAGAAGCTCTCGCAGCCCTTCCATGAGACAGCCCCGGGAGCCCCCCATGAACCCCTCTACTCAGCAGCTCCATGCAAAAGGGAGCTGAGGCAAAGCCTCCCGTTTAACTTGTGCTGGGCTCAGGGTGTGACTGGAGCAGCCCAAAGCTGCTCCTGAAGCAGGGCTGCTCTTGGCTCTGTGTGTCACAGAATCACAGAGCAGTCTGGGTTGGAAGGGACAATAAGGAGGATCCAGTTCCAACCCCCTGCA